AGGAGGGCTTTCGTGAGAGCCACGACCGCCAGGTGCACGAGTTTACCACGCAGGGGGTCTACGTGGCGCCGAAGTGGGGCGTGTCGGAGTACTCCACGGCGCGCAAGATGATTGAGCCCCCAGACGACGAGACCCCCCACGCCCGCTTTCTCTTCAAAGTTGAGGCGGTTGGGCAGAGCAGACCACTGAAGACAACCTGGTGGCAGGCTTGCTACGGTGCAGAGCAAGTCCGCGTGCTCGAGCTGCGCGTAGCGCGGGGGTGGGGATTCCAGGTCACTGAGCCCGCGCGCAGAAGCTTACCTCAGAACGCGATGTCAAGTCTTAGGACTCCGGCGTTGCGCCGAGACGTTCCGACGCCGATGGCCGCCCCCGCCACGCAGTCGGATCCATGGATATCAGAGCCGCCTAGCTTTCCGCCTGCCCCTCCTCCAATCACACGGGTGGAGTACATGCGCGACGACGTGCCGAACAAGGGGAAGATGCCCTACAACGCGTGCGCCGCGACTGGTAAAACCCAAATGGGAAAAGCCCAGCCAGCCGTTCGTTGCGTTCCAGGCTCAGACCACCATTGCGGAGGACTCTTGGAACGTCGCGGCGCCAGCGCCTTCCTCGAGCACGACGGGGCCCATCAATGTGAACGCCATGCCTTCGCGCCACGACCTCGTCTTCACGGGCGACCGCTGCTGCCTTGCGATCTCAAGGCCGCCGGCGATCACATCGAGTCCATGAGGCACCGGGCGCGCCTGGCATGGCGGGCAAATGCCAGCGAACAAGAACGGGAAGAATGGTGCCAAAGGGCTCCCGCTCGCCTTGAGACAGCATAGTGGACTCCTGCGCCAGAGGGCGACGCTGGATTTCCCCTTGATCGCGGCGCGCGTCGGGCGGGCGAAAGCACCCAGCGCGCGCCGCAATTATGGGCGCACATTATTTCCCGCGAGCGCAAAACAACATCATCGGTGCGGTCGTCAGCGTCGCCGCCGCGGTGCTACGCTGCGCTATGCTGTGCTATGCTGGGCTTTACTATGATATGCTGTGCTGCGCTGTGCTGTGCTGCCATGCTGCGCTGTGCTCTGCTATGCTAATGCTCGGCGAAATTAAGATGCAGGTAAGCTAAGCTAAGATAAAACTGAGCTAAGATGAAGCTAAGCTAAGCTAGAATGGAATAAGCTAAAGATGAGTCAAGCAACGCGAAGCTAAGGGAAC